ATATATATTCATAAGTGCTGTTTGTTTATGATTTTCCTTTCTTGTGAAGTCCTTATTTCTGATATTAGGGTAATGCTGACCTCATAAAATCAGGAATTATTTACTTCTTTTCAGTTTACTTTTTCTTTTTTGAAAGAGCTTGAGAAGAATTGGTGTTCATTCTTTAAACATTTGGTAGAATTCACTTGTGTAGCTGTCTGGTCTACAACTTTTGTTAGGAGAGGAAGTCTCATTTTTAAAGGAAGAAAGTAACATTTCTAAGGAAAGGCAGGTATTTGCTTGAGAGGGTCAAGCTTCTCAAAAGAAAACTTTCCTAGGGACCTCCACTTATATACTTAGTTCAAGCTTAAGCTTCATTCAGAAGATCTGTTTAAATTATTTCAAAACTGGAAGGGTAAGGATATACAATAACCTCCTGCAAGGGCAGAATTCTTACTATTCACAAAATAGCACCAGTAATTATTTTCAAGGTTGATAGTGTCATTAGTCACTCCAAATGGGGGAGTACACTCCAAGACACAGTAGTAATCTATAAGTAAGTTGTCTTGTATAACTGGAGTCATTATGTAACTGCATGCTATGACAGTGATACGCTATAGTTCACACAGATTGACCCCAAAGTCTGAAGTGTTGTTAATAAACAAGTTTTACATGTATTTGGAATTTCTTAGATCTGTTTATTTAATTTAATTTAATTTAATTTTGGTACTGGGGATCAAACTCGAGTCCTTGTGCTTGTGAGGCAGGCAGCAGAACCACTGAGCTAAATCCCTGGCCCTTAGATATGTTTAAAACCATAGATTTCATTGCTCTGTATGGAAACTGGAAGTAAATATAGAAGTTAAAACCATGGACCTTGGAACCAGTTTGGGATAATGTCCATAGTTATTATAGTTAATTAGACATATGAAAAGTAGATCAGATAAACTCAGGAGCTAAAATTCCTAGTTTTGAAGGCATTTCTGGACTCCTAGTTTTCCCTTACCTTGATCTAAAGCTACCCTCTCTCCTCCTCCCTCCCCCATCAGTACTGGGAAATGTACTCAGATGTTCATCAACTAGGAAAACCATGAGACCCGATGAAACCCTTTGCTCTGACTTCTCACAGTTGGGGTATGCTAGGTACAGAATTATTTTTTGGGGGGTGGGGAGGTTACTGGGACTTTGGGCTTGCAAGGCAGGTGCAGTGCCACTGAGCTAAATGCCTGGCCCTTGCTGCAATTCTAAGAAACAGTGCTGGGAGGACATACTTGACAGAAAATGAAAAACAGCGTCCACATCTTCTTTTACCTGTCACTCTGGTTGTAACTTTCATCTTTGGTGGTGGAAATCTCCTTGATCTTAGATCGACCACCCAAATATTTGCTCTTACACTGTTGGTGAATCCTCAAATGCAGCTGCCATCCATTTTCTTAGTGCATTTCTTAGAGTAAGATTCCATGTCCCTTGAGGCACAGAAATCTTTTGATTCATACATGGTTCTTTTGGGTGGTCATGTATGGATATTGGAATTTAAAACACCTAACTTTATAAAATTTTATTTCATCTTTAAATTACTGAAGTCATCACAAAATGGAAGGAAATAGTCCTTATATGCATGGTCTCACTTTATCTTTTAATGATCTTGGAAAGAAATCTTGTCCCTACTTTATAGATGAGGCTCAAAAAGGGAAAGTGGCCTGGCTGGAATTTAAATCAAAGTTTTGTTAATGGTAAAAATCTCCTGTCTTTTCCGTATATAATCTGCCCCAGATTTATAATGGGAAAATTGGGAATTGAATCCAATTTATTTATATCCTTAACCCCTTTACAGCTTCAACACCATATAAAAACCTAACTTAATAGTTATCTAAATATATATTTATCAAAGAAAGATGTGCTACTGACAAGCTAACTCTAAGACGAAAATATGAGAAGTGATTTGGACTGACATAAGTCCTCTAAGTTGTGCCACGGAGCAGGAAGTTCTCAAACTTCCTTGACTAATTGTACTCCTAGGCCAAAAAAAACAGCTGAGTATTGTGTTTATTAAGTATATAGGTCCTAACAACTTACTAAGCATTTGTGTCCTATCATGTGAAATATAAAAAAAATACATACTCCTTGGAAGAAAAATATTTTATTTCATGTTAAAATTACCACAGTCATTAACGGCATATGTGCATCTGTTGGAAGATAATCACTATGTTCATTTCTTGTTCCACACTGTTTTTTCACTTTATACTTGCTTTTTACCATAGCAACTACCCAAACCTCAGTGTTTTGTTTTTTTAATTTTTTTGGTACCAGGGATTGAACTTGGGACCTTGTGCTTGCGAGGCAAGCAGCGGCACCACCGAGCTAAATCCCGGCCCAAAATCTGTTTTATAAGATAAGGAGTTTTGAAACTGAACTATTATTTTGAACTAGTAGTTTGTGTGGCATCGGACAGATCAGTGTTTCCTTCAAAATTTAACTATCGCAGGGTACTCCCGTGAGTACACTGCAGCACTCTGGGTGCCTTTTATGTATGCATATTCATATTTATTGTGTATATTCTATGCCACATGATGCTTTGATATACATAGACATGAAATGGGTTCTGTATCTTGTACTTTTTTGTTGTTGTTGAAAACCTGAAATAATTTCCTTTTCTCCCCCACTTTCTTCCCTCACACACTCTTCTGTTTTTTTGTGAACAAAACCCTCCTGAAGCTTCGTTCATAACTGGAATGTTCCAACCATGACATTTCATAACACATGCTGAAATTTCAACCTGGAGTGAAGTCAATACACATGGTATATGATATTTATGAATGATATTTACATATGGAAATCTGATGTTCAGACACATTTTACCCACTGTACAGTTTTTGCCAGAGATTTCTTTACATTCTCAAATTGAATATTTTGTACTCGGTGAAGCAGATAGAAGGAAGCAAAGAAAGGAAGGAGGAATGAGAAAAGAAAAAAACACCTGACTCATTTATTTAAAATGTTCGTCAAGCACCACGCACATTCTTGGAGCAAGACAATACTGAGCGAAAAGCGGCTCCTCCAGACCCCCGCATCCACACAGTCGATCCTGGCCACCTATCTGCTGACACAGACCAAGTTTAGGTCACACTCAGGCTGAGGGTGCAGGAAGGTTTCACAGTTCAGGCTTTGGAGTCAGGCTGCATTCAAGTTCTTCTTGGTAGCTCTGAGTCCCCTGCGCAAATTCATCTTGTGAGTTTGCATGTTTTTTCCTCATTCAAACGGGAAGAAAACATCCCAAAGTTGTTTCTTCAGGACTGATCAGCACCTCTACAGTGCATATTATACATCTAGGACTTTACAGCCAGATAATTAATGGCTATTATTATTAAAATAGCCAGCAGAGACAGCTGCTGAAGAATATCAAAGGTAGAGAGAGGAAGAGTGAGGAGAATGGCAGGGTTCACGTCAGCAGCGGGCAGTGTGCAGACTGGCACAAGCGCTCCAGAAAGCCCAGCATATGCAGATGCAGTGACCCAGCAATGCAATGCCTAGGTATATGGTCAGCACTCAAATACCTGTGTTCTAAAACAGATGCGCAGCAGCATGAAGCACAACAGCACCCCCAAACTGGATACAACTCAAGTGTAGAATGAATAAATCCCAGGTGGTATCTCAGACCACAGAATACATACTGTGCAGCAGCGAACACCAGAGAGTCACTGCTGCACACGGCAGTGAGTGCCGATGCATTCCACATCGGTGTTGAGCAGAGGCTGGCAGTCTGAGAGCGGGCTGTACGAGGCCCTCTGTGTAAACGCACACCAGGCTTCACTGTTGGAGAGAAGGGGAGCGCTTCTGAGGAGGCAGAATTAAGAGCCGGGAAGGTACATGAGGAGGCTTCTGGTGCTGGCTCACAGTATGTCCTCACTTTTCAAAAACCCTTGTGATTAAGGTACATTTTACCCTAACAGTTTAAGAAAAAGTTTGTCATCACCCTTGCCATTTGGTCACCAATACGGTGACTGACACTGGGTGTTCTCCAGGCCCTGCTGCAGGACAGGTTCTTTTTTGGACAAAACAACAGAGAGGAGCTGCAGCCTAGCAGAGCAAGTCACGGGTTGTCATGAGGTGGGGAGAATCTTGGGCACCAGAAACAGTGCTCGATGATCAATGCCAGGTCATCGGGGGCAGTAGGGCTGATAAATGGTATATCATTGTCTTATAAGAAAGGGAGGGAGGGAGGGGAGTGGAGGAGGGGAAAGCACATAGCTAGACGGGGGCAGGGAGTGAGAAGAGTGAAGTAGAAAGCAAAACAAAAGACTGTACCTGTCTCCAGCTAGCTACAGGCCTAAAGCATTTCTTATGGCCCACACAGTGTGACTCTGGGCTTTCCGTGTATCTGGATCACGGCTAGACTCACTCTGTTCAGTGAGTTCCACGCTGGGACCCACTGTTTATTAGCAAAGAAAGAATCACATATAGAGTTCCAGAGCAGAAGTAGGTGGCAGGCTCCTATCTTCTGCTCTCCCGCGCCCCCATTCCTGCTGAGGTGTGCTGTGCTCTCGGTGGACTCGGGTGCGGCAAAGCTTTCTGCCTTAAGTGCGGGCTTCTCCTCAAAGCACAGAGCAGCTTTGGCAGAACTGTACTAACCCTACAGTGTATGCATGCATGTGTACATTTTTTTAATTCACTCACTGATGACATAATTAAACTTTAATTTGTGCTCCTTAGAGGACACAGAAAAGGAAGAGCAGAATGAGGGCAAGGGTTTAGAGATTCAAACAACCCATGGTGACCACAAGGCACTTGATTTACCTGTGCCCATACAATCCAAGTGACTTACTTAAATTTGGACAGACAAATGGTTTACTTATTACTTCAAGTCCTTTTATTGTGAAAGAAGTCATTTCACTTAGTAAATAAAGACTAATGTTGTCAGGTAGAAATCAAAATGTGATCTGACTGATCAAAGATGCCAGAAAAAGGGGCAGTTTGACTTTGACAAATCTAGCTTTTCAAAGTTTGTGGTGCTATAGAAGTGGGTGATTCCTCGTGTTTTGGAGAATGCTGCCAGTGGTCCATGAAGTGCTAGACTCTTCTGCACATTCCAAAAAGATTCAGGTTGCAAAAACAGGCTTCCATGTATACTTTTCAGGAACACATCTGCTGTGAAAAAGATGTTTGTGGCACTGGGACTCCAAACAAAGTGTGAAGAAGACTTGCCTTAAAATGTTTTCTAAGGATCAAGGGCTCTTCCACGTAAGGCGAAGATGACTAGTACTGCTGCACAGTTGGTTCGGTTTGGACTTGAAGAGTAGAGATTTTAAAAATGCAACCACTTGCATTACTTGCTAAAAATAAGCCAAAGAAGTTTAATTTGAAAGATACGCTATGCCAGATGCGATTCAGTTTTGGGTCAAATAGCCAATGGGCTCAACTCAGTGTGAGACGGGGTGAGCCTCATTACGAATGGGCAGAAGAGAAGGCAGCGCAGCAAGTACCCATTGCTGCCCTTCTAGAACTGACGTGGTCACTTTCCTGTTCACTGAAGGTTTTAATTAGAAATGGATTCTTCACAGATGCTTCATTCCATTGTATGCTAATTACAGACTTTGGCAAAAATGGTGAAAAGCAGAGCCACCAGAGCCAGGCCCACAGCTAGCCTGAGCACACAGTCTCGATGCAGGCTTTGCATTTGCAGCCCCATCCGGGAACTCACTGAGTCACGCAGAGTTGCAGCAGGGGTGTGGGATGTCATCAGATTCGGGGGAATCCCAAGCCTGTTTCTGAATTCCTACAAAGAGAGAAACAGAGTTGAAAGTGATTTTAACATTCAGAGAAATCCTGTGATAGCAGTCAAGTAATGGGATCCTGAAAGGTACCACCATTTACTTACTCCCACGGAGGGACATCGGAACACTCACCCTGGCTCAAGTGGCCCCAAGGTGGGAATGAGTTTTGGTTCCTCTTTTGGAAAGGTTGTAACAAGTTCATTTCCCAGCCCATCTATGACTATAGGAGAATTGAGGCAGAATTTTATGTAGCATCACATCACAAGTGTATCTGACTTAGGAATACAACCCTATCTACTCAGCAACAAAACAATTACCCAAACCAAAAACCCATGGAAGCCATTTTATTCAGCAAACGGGTTCCTTAGGACAGAGATTCCCAGTGTTGCAGGAGGATCTGAGTCACCAGGTTGTTCCTGCCGTTCACCTCGGAGTATCATTTAAGTAGTATTTTCTCTGTGCCAGACACGGAAGACGCTAGAAACGCAGCTTGGAGAGAATGCCAGGGGCGTGGGACCGACTGCACTGCTTTTTAGATAGTCTCTGGTGTGGGGGAAGAGGGGGAGGAGCACCTGGCTGCTCACGGGTTGGTACTGGTGTTTCAGAGCATAACTTGGCTCCATTATAGGAGACTGTCAGCTTTAGGGTCAGTGACTCCAGGTGAAGTGGGACGCGCCTGCTGAAGCCTGACATTTTGAGAGATGGAGGAAAGGGTGGGCGTGGCAGTTAAGCGTGACTGTGTCAACCTGACTGGCTTGGGAGGCGCCCAGGGGATTGGCGAGCACATTTCCAGTGCGTCCGGCTGGGTCACGGAGGTGTGACCTCGGGTACTGCGACTGGCCCCTCGCTCCTCCTCTGGCACCGCTCCCTGCTCTACTTCTTGTCACCGTGAACTAAGCAGCTTTGCTCTGCCATGTGCTTCCGCCGGGATGTTTCTTCCTTGGAGCCAGCTGACCATGGACTGAGTCTCTTTAAAACATGAGTCAAGTCGAGCCTCTCCCCTTTTCGGTGTCAGGTACTGTCTGGTAACGGGAAAGCTGGCTAATGCAGTGGGGAAGGGGCAGATGAGACACACCGGAAGAAACGCAGTGAGGTGCCTAGGGGGCACCAGGAGGCAGTGCAGCACAGAGCCCTTTTGGGCAAGGAGAAACACACAGGCACAAAACATCCTTCACAGCCCTTTCGCTTTGCCTATTCAAGTGCTGTAACGACCCCTGGTGCACCTCTGGCTTCTGCTGCGAGCTGTACATTGTGCATGGACAAGCACTGGATGAAGCTCAAGCAGGACTGTGTAGGGTGGGTTAAGGGAAGTGGGGAAGAGAATCTGTGGTAGGTTTTGGCAGTCGATAAGGTGGGAGACAATGAGGTCCTATATCAAGGTGATAATTCAAGGGGCGGAAAGAACAACAGATTTAGCAGGATTTGAATTCTGATGGCAGGGTAATGAGAACTACAAAGAATAGGAATTGGGGATTATAGTGTTTACAGCCCATTTACACTGAGTAACATTTACATCTGATAGTTGTGGAAATACTCTTGCTTTGACTGTAGGAGACTAATTGCAAAATTAATAAAGCTGTTGGCTACCAGGATAAATCTCTCAACCCCAATGACACAGCCACACTGTTTACTTCTACACTCCTCAGGCTTCTGTGCAGCGTGCTGCTCTCCCTGTACTGAGCCACACCGCTCGGAACAGAGCATCTTCCTTCCCCATGGCAGGTCAGTGGTGCACTCACACTTGCACCAGCTTCCAGGAGATGGCTCTCTTAGGAGGATGGCTTTCTGTGTGTAACTGTGGAGCTGGGAGTATGCTGGCAAGTTTCCACTTCGGTTAAAAATAGTCTTCAGGAGAGCAGTCACACATATATGCTGACTTCGGGAGAGAATGCAGAGTCCTTCAGCTGAGGTGATGGAAGGTATATGAGTTCCTCCAAAGCGAGTCTAAGGAATGTCTCAGGCAGCCTTGGGTAACCATCCTGCCTGCAGCTTTGCCCTGTTCTGGCTGAGGTTCTGCCGCCATGTAGGCGCTACCTTCAAGGCAGCAGAGAACACTACGGTAGCTGCTTCCCTCCTGCCTACGAGATGCCTGCCATGCTTCCCCTGCATGGTGCTCATGGCCTGCTTTCGACAGTGAGGAAACACCTGTGCCCACTGCTACCCTGCCTGCTGTCTGTAAGGGTGTGATGGGGGGGTATGGATCAACTTTGGACTATGTCACCCCACCCTGGGTACACACTGCTGGGGGGACTGAGAGCATCTTTACCTTGCTCAGCTCCAGGCAGACAGGAGTAGGGGGAAAAAGCCCTGGCCACTGCCATGCTCCATGGTGCACACAGCTAAGGAGGTACAAGGGCAACTCTGCCAGGCTCCAGGTGAGGTCCTGCTCCCAGCTGACACTACCACAGCATCAGCAGAGGGGAACAGCACAGCTCCTGTTGTGATCATGGTCGGGAGAAATCCAGCCCCAGTTCAGAGTGCTTGACCTTGGTCCTGTGCCTCCTAGTCAAGAAGCTATGATGTGATTTGAGGTGCCAGGCCAGGGCTTGGACTGATCTACACACAGGGCTGGGTGAGTCTTAGAGCATTCAGGATTTGGCTGGGTTTACAGCACATCTATGTTTGGCTCCACAAAGTTGCAGTCCAGGTAATACACCTGTGCTCCTGACTAAAACCAACTCCTTTGACTTTTGACGATAGTCTTAAACCTCCTCCTGTCTTCCTTCCAACACACCTGCAGTAAAAATTTTGCTCAAAATATATTTACCAATTAACCTACCAGCATGGCTTACCTGTGGTTGCATTCAATGTGGCCATTCCCTTTTGGGGATCAAGTTTTATTCTCTTCAACATTCAAACACTTAACACATTGGAACATCACTGACCTATAAATGGTATTTTAGTGCTGAGTCTCCCGCCTGTTCCTACTGGGCAAATCTGCATCCCAGAATCAGATGGAAAAGCAGGAGTGTGACAATGGACAGGGAAGGAAATGCAGTCCATCTGTCACACTGTGCTGTTTTATTATTTTTACCCTTTCCCAAGCCAAGACCATGAGTTTGATGATACTATTTTTAAATAGCTTTCTCAGATGACACAGTAGTAAGTAGCCAGCTAGCTTTGTACATTTCAATTGTCGCTACCACTATGACACTAAAGGAAAAGTAATTTAGAAACACAGGAAATACAAGATCTTTCATAGAGTGCCAGGCACTCAAACATGGAAATGTTTGACCACAGCAGAGTTCTACAAGGTAGAAGCAGAGTTCATAAACAGAATATAGAATTTCTGTGATATAATAAAAAGTGCTTATAGGTGAATATAAATAGCTAAAAGAAAGATGAAAGTTGACCTAGATAACACACACAGAGCAATTCAGCTAACTGACTTTACAGAAACACTATGGACAATAGACTCCAAAGTAAACAGAAGCCTCAAACCTTCCCTAAACCTTTAAACATTTTCTTCAAAATAGAAATTTGAAACAAGGCAGAGTCTGACCTTTGTTCAGTTGAAACCATGCCTGTATTTATTCAGTTAATGGACTAAAGGATACATCGAGAATTCTACTGGGCACCCTGTTAGCCTGCAGTAACATGGGCTTCTCTTCCCTTGTAAATTAACTCAATTAATTTCCAAACCTACTTATTTGCTCTTTAACATACTCTAAAATGGGTGAGGTGGTGCACCCCTGTAATCCCAGCACTTGGGAGGCTGAGGCAGGAGGACTGCTCCAAGTTCAAGGCCAGCCTGAACTACACAGGGAGACCATGCCTCGAAAACAAAAAAACAAACTCAGAACTCTAATTTTCAACAGTGCAGCTCAGTGATGGCAAACGCTTCAGCGCTTTCAATGATACAAACAGCCCACATGTGCTATTGGTTTGCCACCACTGGTATAGCTTATCAAATCCTATCAAAATAACATCAAAACACACACACACACACACACACACGTGCACACACAACTGTCCAGTTCAGAAACTTATTTGGCCCATTACAGATAGAGGCAGCTCGGGGTTGAAGGTGCAGCTCAGCAGCACAGCGCTTGCTGGGCACGTGGGAGGCCCTGGGTTCAATCCCAGGCACTGCACCCATGCACACAGGGTAAAGGCAGCAATATTCTGTCTCACCATTTTCTTCTCTCCTAGTAGTTACGCGTGTTGATGGGGACAGGAAAGGGATGGCTTTAGGTTCATTTAATGTCATGAAGCACACATGGTACTGGTTTTAAAAGCTGTTAATTGCTTGGGATCGGATATCCAGTTCCATTTGAGGGTTTGCAGGCAAATCATTAATCCTCACCTTGCCTCCACTTCCTCACTGATACACTGAGATGCTGGTAGTGTTTTGCATCATAGCACTGTTATGATGATGAAATGTTATAAAGTGTCCCAAATGCTTAAAACTCAATGGATTCAAAGGTAGTTTGTGGCCCTAATATTAGGAACATGCAAATGGCCTCAGGTGTTCTTGTAAAAATTACAAAATCACTATTTGCTACTCATCTTAACCTACCCCTGATGTTTCTACTGCTTCCAAGTAGCATTAGGTGACGCTGGTATAATGAATGAGTGTGGGTCTTGAAATTGGACAAACCAAAAACTGAATCCAAGTTCAGAGAGCTGGGTGATCATGGGCAGGTGGCATAAGCTGTCCAAGCTTAGTGACTTCTGTGATGTAGGAATACCTGTTTTGCATGGTTCAAACAAACAATGTGCTCAGTGCCCAGGTAGAGTGCCTGGAATAGGTTTGATAAGGAGTAGAAATCCTTAGAAATGGCTTAGAAATCAGAGGGGCCCCAGCTTCCATGGTACCGATCACCAATACCGAGACAATGATGTGGGGTCTGGAGTCCTGTACTGTGCTCACAGCACTAACCCACATGAGGGCAGCTCTTGGGCTGTCAGACAGCGCCTCTCACTCCCTAGGTCAGTTATTAGATTGTCACCATGCAGTGAGCCTTCGGGGAAAGCTCTAACGAAAACCATCAGCCCTTCT